TGAGTAAAACCACAGGCTTCGCTTATTCTGTGCGAATGTGCCACATGACATTCAGATGTAGTGGGGTAATTTCTAAATCACACGAGGTCCTCAGATAATACTAATCCCGTGCGAATAGGGCTTTACGTGAGTGACCAGCTTTTTTGGTGGACTTGAATGAATTAGTGTAAAGCTGCAATATTCAAGTAATCACAGATTTAGAACAGGCTCTTGCAGTGGCTGAAAGGGTCATCCCTTTGGCCTTTATCTGGACAACCTGCTGTTGCAGGGCTTCAGTCACCTTAGAGCGGCCTGCCATCTCGCAATCTCAGTGAAAATTAAAGGAATGGTGCCAGTTAAAAAGGGTTTGTCATATAATTAAGAAAATTATCACCAGGTGCCAGATTAACACCAACAACTTGGAGGTACCTGTAAGTATTGAGAGTCAGAGTTAATTTTTATACTATGCTTCAGGCCATGTCCACACGTACACGGGTATTTTTATAAACATAAAGAGTTTTTCCTTCTTCCGTTTTTAAAAAATCTCCATCCACATGAAAACGCAAACGCATGCTATGAAGCACTGTCAAGAGCATGCCAAACCAACAGGTGGCGATATAATCTCAACCGTAAAGCCATGTTGGCCAAGCAGAAGCATGAAAAAGTCTCCAGTAGGCGGAGATAACAGCGCAGGCTCCGACGTCACAATCCAAAAACTCCGGTTTCCCTGTCTACACGATAACACTGCAACCAGAGTTTTTGTAAATCTTCACCCTGGCAGGAGTTTTCAAAAGTGTTCGGTTTCAGTGACCTGGTGCTGAGTTTGCATGTGGACGAACGGCCAAACCGCGTAGAAAAATTTGCGGTTTTAAAAATAACCGTTCGTGTGGACAGGGCCTCAGAATTGAATTAATAATAATAAAAAAAACTTCCATTCTACTCCTGTTAGGATAATCAGTGGATTAAGCAGTGATCTTTAAATTTAGAAAATTGTAGGTTGCTCTCTAATTTTGATCTCCACTGTATCTCTGTGCAGTTAAGACTTTTGCCTTGACTTATTATTTTCCTTTGTCATGTACATATGAACTCCTGTTTCCGCACTTGTCAATCAAGTTGACGCCCTCTAATTTTGATAGTATAGAGGCATCTGCTACTAGGGTTGTGATGGTGAGGATGGTTTCTAAACGAAATCTTCTGCCATCGTCTCGTCTTTCTCACCTCACCCTTCTTGTCAGTCGGGTCGACTCACTCTCCTCGCGTGATAAATGAAATCTGATGAGAATCCTCAGAATGAATTTCCCCCCTCTCGATCATATATGAAGCATTACATTATTTAAATGGAAGTGATCTTTCATAGTCATTATGAAAATATACTTTGAAAAGCTCGTCATTGCTTCATTGAGCTGAAGCATAAGGCTGCTTGAAAGAACTTCTGTTCAGAGCAGATTTGAATATTGTCTGTTTCTTTTGGATGACATTGTTAAAGGAGGGTAGATGAGAAAACAATCAAAAGCGTAAAGACTTAACTGTCGACCTACAAATCAACAGTGTTAGAGGCAGAACAACATATATCTGTTATCGAAAAAGCACTGTTGAATCAAAAGCCGTGCAAGCAAAGTTAACTGATCTAAAGCTTCCTTGAGACAGAACAGCTTCTGTATTTATGGGGCTCCAGAAGGATCTGAGGGAGTCAACCTATTGGAGCTTGTGACAAGGCTTGTAAAGTTGGAGCTTTGTCTGTTGTTAATGGATATGGGTCCCAGAATACAGTGCTGCTTCATGAGATACCAACTCACTGGTGCTTAGCTTTCTAGAACAGGGTTTTCAAACCTGTCCTGGACGACCCCCAGCTCTGCGCGTTGTATGTCCCCCTCATTAGACACACCCAATTCAGATCTTGCAGTCTCTAATAACGAGTTGACGAGTTGAATTTGGTGTGTTAGAGAGAGACATACAAAATGTGCAGTGCTGGGGGTCCACCAGGACAGATTTGAAAACATCTGTTCTAGAGTACGCAGTGAAAGAACAGGTGCTGTACACAGTTTGATTTGAAGGGAAGACGATCTGCACTTAATGTCACAATCTGGACAAGACAGATATCTGAATTTTGAATATAATATTTCCCATGTTCAAAAACAATGTTCTCCACCTCAGAAATATTGCCAGGTTACAGAACATACCAGTTTAAGATGCAGAATAGTTAGTTCATGGAGTAATGACCTCAAGACTATCTTCAGTAGACTGTGGGCCAGATTTACTAAACGGCAAATTAGCGTTAGAGCGCAATTCCATAAAAGTGCCAATGGGAGGGGAAAATTCTGCGGGTGAGGTAATGACAAAGTGCACATTAAAGAACACAAACGCAGCATCTCATTTCCATAATCACCAGCGCAATCTACCAAGAGCAGCGCAAATTCCACCTGCTTTAAGACATGCATTAAATAATGGCGCAAATACCAGTGAATTGATGACCGCAAATCTTAGTAAATCTCATTGCATGATTCATTTAAATATTCTCTTTCCATAAATGTACCGATCGAAAGGGAAACAAATTCATATTCAATAAGGTGAGTCGCAAAAATTACTGTGTCCACGCATTTTCAGCACTAATTTCCCACTGCGTGTCTTTAGTAAATCCTGACAGTAATTTTTTAACGCCAAATGAGGGTTTGTGCTGGCGCAAGCTGATAGTAAATCTGGCCCTGGATCTTCAATAAACAATTTGCAATTAGTCCAAAATATAGCGGCTAGAGTTCTTACCAGGCAGGTAGTTCTGTCCCACAATTTCAGCAAACATCCTTGTATTTAGTGCAAAACAGTGAAAGTTACAGAAAAACAGTTAACAGAAGAAAACATCCAAAATAATCTTGTAAATGTCGACTTTCAAAAAAGACTCCAAGAGAACACTTAATAACCAAATTATGAGTCCATTTAAAGGTGCAATGTGTAATATTTACATCGATCTATTGACAGAAATGCAATATAATATACATAACTATGTTTTCAGAGGTGTATAAAGACCTTATGTAATGAACCGTTATGTTTTTATTACCTTAGATTGAGCAATTTATATCTACATACACCGCGGGTCCCCTTACATGGAAGTCGCCACCATGTTTCTACAGTAGCCCTAAATGGACAAACTGCGCTACACAGGGCGTTTTGTCACTTTGTTGTTCTTGCGAATAAAACACTGACACAATGATGAACAAGTACATTAATATTCGCAATAACATCGATTTATTAAATAATTAAGTAAATATAATTCCTTAATTTACCTTTGTAAAGAAATCTCATTGCTCTCTGCTTTCTTTACCGACGACATATTAGTCCTGTATCTTCTTCTTCTTATGATGTTTAATGGCGGTTGGCAAACCAGCTTTTGGTGCATATTCCACCACCTACTGGGATGGAGTGTGAGCGATGATATCAAGGGAAATGCTAATTCCAAAAAAAAAAAACCTTCCACCTATATTTTATTATATAAATTTGTTCTTTTAAGAAAATTTATAAGAGCTTTATAACCTTTATGAGAACTGTTTAACACATTCTGTAATGTCATAGAATTAATGGGGTGAGCGGGGGACTGAGCCGTTGATTGCAATTCGCAACCTCACCGCTAGATGCCGCTAAAATTTACACACTGCACCTTTAATTCAGAACTACTGTGTACACCACAGTGCACGACAAATATGTAAAAAAAAACGATGATATCAAGGGAAATGCTAATTCCAAAAAAAAAAAACCTTCTACCTATATTTTATTATATAAATTTGTTCTTTTCAGAAAATTTATAAGAGCTTTATAACCTTTATGAGAACTGTTTAACACATTCTGTAATGTCATAGAATTAATGGGGTGAGCGGGGGACTGAGCCGTTGATTGCAATTCGCAACCTCACCGCTAGATGCCGCTAAAATTTACACACTGCACCTTTAATTCAGAACTACTGTGTACACCACAGTGCACGACAAATATGTAAAAAAAAAATTTTTTGAATAATTCACAATGTTTTGTGTTTCACAATGTTTTATGTTTACAGTGCAAAACCAAAACCAAAAGAAACTACAAGTCAATACGTTTAAATCCATTAAAGGTTGGTTAAACTGCATTAATTAGATCAACTGGAACCAGATGAGTCCTCTGCTCAATCTGACTTGTGTTGCAGCCTGGAATTAAACTACACCTTGCTGGTTTCATCTGGCCAGAGGAGAACTGGCCCCCCGACTGAGCCTTGTTTCTCCCAAGGTTTTTTCTCCATTCTGTCACCCACCTTTGGCTTGCTTAGTTGGGGACACTCAATTTCTGGCAATATTGTTGACTTCATTGCACAGATACTATTTGAACTGAACTGAGCTGGACGATGAATCACTGAGTCGATAAACTGACTTTAACGGAAAAAATTGAGTTTGCAATTGTCCTCTTGCATTATCAACACACTATTTTCCCTTTTAGTACTGTAAAGCTGCTTTGACACAACCTGTATTGCATAACGTGCTATATAAATACAGGTGACTTGAATGTTTAGCCATATCAGCAGCTAGAACCATCTCCCAGATGTCATCACATGAGCTCCAGCAGTAGCAACACATTTGCCTGTTAATTGTCTCATGAATCAAATAATGCAGAGCAGTGTTTATTATTTATGTACAATTTGTGTCCTTTATAATCTTTCTTTTACACTGTGGCATTTCACAGCAATTTCACCAATAATTTGATTCTGATTAACAATATATGTAATGGACCAATGCCTCTATACTATCAAAATTAGAGGGTGTCTTAACTGCTCAATATTTGAAACTATAGCAAAGGAGATTGACAAGTGTGAAAGCCGGAGTTCATATGTACATGACAAAGGAAAATAAAAAGGCTCAAGGTAAAGTATAAAGAGGTGAAGATTGCAAATACAATAAGTGGTCATAAAGGTGGACAATCACAATTTCTTTACAGAATGAGTTTGCAAATGATGTTTCAGGTCTCTATTATATGTGAAACTATTATCGCACTGAAGACACTTAAATGGTTTCTCTCCAGTGTGAATACTTATGTGAGTCTGAAGGTTTCCTTTCTGTGAGAAGCTTTTTCCACACTGAGGGCAGATGAAAGGCTTCTCTCCAGTATGAAGTCTAATGTGAGTGTTGAGGCTTCTTTTATGCAGGAAACTCTTTCCACACTGATGACATATAAAACAGTCCTCTTTTGAGTGAATCCTCATGTGGTGATTAAGGGTTTCTTTACATGTGAATCTCTTTCCACACTGACCACATATGCAAGGCTTCTCTCCTGTGTGAATGTTCAAGTGAGTCTTAAGACTTTCTTTTCGTGAGAAGCTCTTCCCACACAGTTTGCACGTGTACGGTTTCTCTCCAGTGTGAATTCTCACGTGGGCATTAAGATTTCCCTTAAGTTTAAAACTTTGTCCACACAGTTTGCAGGTGTAAGGTTTCTCTCCAGTGTGAACTCTCATGTGGACTTTAAGGATTTGTTTTTGATTGAAACTCTTTCCACACTGTTGGCAGCTGAAAGGTTTCTCTCCAGTGTGAACTCTCATGTGGACTTCAAGGTTTTGCTTACAAGTGAAATTCTTACCACACTGACAGCAGGTGAAACTGTTAGAGTCAGTCCTCTGACCACTTTTTTGTGAGGAAGTCTTTTCAGTCTTTAAGGATTTTTCTCCTCTCTTGAAATCATGACGTTTCTCATCCTGACTTTTCTCTTCCATTTCATTCAGTTCTTCTTTCAGACTCTCCTCTTTCAGTGCCATCAGGCCTAAAGCAGAAAAAAAAGACATTAAAGTAAAAAAAAACAAGGCATCAAAGCCAACACATACATCCTATATGCACTTAGCTACTAAAAGAAAACTTCTCAGAAGGTTTTTAGTAGGGATGTAACAATTCACTCAACTCACGTTGCGATACGATTCACAATACTGATTTGACAATACGATTTTCTCATGATTTTTTAAAATTTTTTTAACAAAATGACATTTAAGGCAAATTATAAATGAAAAGGTGTTCTTTTATTATTGCTTGGACAAAATGCTGAACCTTTTTTTTGTGTTATTGAAATATGTCATAACAAAACTATGGTATGGATAGTAACTTTCTTCTAAGTTCTGCCAAACAGAAGTATTTACTATTGGACCAAAAATCTCTAAACATAAGTGGATAGATCCCAATTTATGTACTGCACAGAGAATAAATTATTACTGACAACAGCATTTGTGAAATTCAAATTAAAAGACACTTAATTCAGAAGATGGACAAATGTATTGCAGCAAAACCTTCAGAAATGTTTTTCAAAAAACTGCTCAATAGGGACTTCAAAGACATTGTATGACTTTCTGTTATGACGTAACTTCATGTAAAGCTGCTCTGGTACAATGAGTATTGTGAAAATGCTATACAATTTAGTCAAGTTAAGTCACGTTTATTTATATAGCGCTTTTAACAATACAGATTGTGTCAAAGCAACTGTACAGCATTAATTAGGAAAATAGTGTGTCGATAATGCAAAAGGACTATAGTAATAAACACTCAATTTTCAGTTAAAGGCAGTTCATCATTGAATTCAGTGACTTGTACAATTGTATTTAGTACAACTTAGCATCAACAAACTATTTTATTTGATGTGCTAAAGGTTAATTCTACCATTATCATGTTAAGCCTTTGGCACGCGTGATCATACGTATTCAACTAAACATTAGTCAACAAGAATTGGCTCAGTCCACCAAATTTTAATTAGTCGGTCACAGAAAAAAAAGGAAAAATAAATAAATAGGAAGTGGCAAAGTCACACAGTCCATGATGGACAGTCAACATAGCTATTATATATTTATTTTATTATTATTTTTTTTTTAACAATGTAGCCCAGTAGAGCTGTGCCAGTCAATGTGACAACCACCTCTAGTTGAGTACCATGCTAGAATAGCATTTGTATAGTTTGTATGCGAATGCTGTTTTAGTGCTTAGTGCTGCGTTCGACACCATAGATCATGACATACTCATAGATCGATTACAAAACTATACAGGTATTCAAGAGCAGGCTTTAAGATGGTTTAGATCAGGGCTGTCCAACGATTTGTATCGTAAAAAGCGCTATACAAATAAACTTGAATTGAAAGAAAATTGAATTGTTTTAAGGGAACATTATGACACAAGTACAAATCTTTGTTTACAATAGAAACAATAGGTTAGTATTTAAATGTTACATCACACCATGGAAACACTTGGGATTCCTGCCGAATGAGAGGTACATGAGCCCATAAATCTAAAGCATGTCAGCTTTGTATTCTGCTTTGCAATCCGGTCACCTGATTTTCCCACGAATTCAACAATATTCCGTGAGTTATTTCTAATGGACATGGAATCTTTTGTTTTGTAAAATCAGCATTTATCATATAAACATTTATTGTTATTATTGGTTTATTGTTACACAAAATAATTGCTTTGTTTAGGCTTCTTCTGTATTATTTTTGTCAATTTAATGTGTGACATTTCGTAATTATGAATGCCAAACTTGGAAGTAGGAGCTACTCAGGTGCACTTGAAGAAGAAGTGCAGCATTAGTATTTGCCTGGTCATGTGATCTCAACATGTCTGCCCACAAGAGATGAATCACTCAATGTCAAATAGTAACTCACTTCAGCTTTGAGAATGAAAACTAACCTGTTTGTTCCTCAGTCTCTTCTTGTTTCACTCTGAATGTTTCTTCCATCCTCATGTCTTCACTCTCCTCTTTAATAGATGCCATCTTTATAATAGTGTGTCTCGAGGAGCTTCACCAGGAGTTTTTCTGTGTGTTTGGACATTCTGTCATGTTTAAGATGAGAATAATTAACAGAAAGAAAAATGAATCAAACTAAATCTCTGGGTCAGCTGCCTAGTTCAGTGATCAGCACTGGCAAGGATGTCAAGCAGAGTTGTAATCAGTGGTCTTAAATTGATAGACATTAAAAAAACAAACTCAAAACTACTAATTCAAAAGGAACACAAATTATACAGACTTAATATGTATTTCTGATTACTATTTGGTATTTAATGATTTGTAGATTAAATTTAATAGATGACACCTTAATAAAACCGTATGTTTGTTTATTAAAGTTGTCATTACAAGTTTGTGATTCATTGAACTTACACCATTTTGAGCAGCAGGTGTCCTCAGTCTGCGGTGATTCGAGAGATTCGCATCAGTGAATAATTTTGTGAAGCAATTGATTCAATTCATTCGGAGTATTGAAAAGCTCCGTTTCTCTCATCACTACTTGCCAGTGACCGAATTTGTTTATAATAAACTGGTTCACGATATAGAAAGCGAAATGAGATGCACCTTTTCTGTTACTAATGTTTGCACTTTATTCACGAAAAACTTTAACTCTTTAACTCATGTTAGAGAGAGCATTACAATGTTACATTCAATGAATCATTAATTTTACATCGATTGTAAAAAAAAACGATAACATTAAACTGTTTGAATGCTTAAAAATACAAACCTTTCTTCAGACAAATCAGAAAAGATGCAGGAGCATCTTTTCGGAGGCGCCGTTTTATGACGTCATATCACCAGGCCAAAATAAAAGTCCTGTTCACACTGCTGCCGCTGTAAATTAGGTCAGAGGAAAT